TGCTCTGTTTTATGGCGCAAGTGGTGAAGAGCTTCTAGTTGTTGTTATATCTTCTAAAGATTTTGGTAAGTGTAATTTTACTGGATTCGTCATTCAAATTCCAATAGTATAAAAACTAACCACTTGGAATAACTTTAGAATATTTATGTATGTAGGTTTGGCGAATGATTTGGTGTTTCACTACAATCGTGGGTCATTGGATAGTGACGCTGTGCCAATGGCTATAGCTCAAAATTTCCCATGTCGTAGTATCTTGGAAGAATATACAAGTTTGTTGATTTTTTTAATTATCTTGATTTTGCATGTTTTTTATATTCTCATGATTTATTATAAGGCCTCTCTAACGAACTTATGGTACATTGATTTTTCTATGTTGAAGGGAATATTGATATAATGCATGGCAGAGTAGAAGCAGTTTTCCGAAAGGCTTTTTATTCTGTGTATAACAGATGCGGCTTCTTGCTGGTTGGTATAGTATGGTGGATATTCTTGTTCGGTATGTCATTTGATATTGTGTTCGACAGATCTTTATGTTGTAGTTGCTATTTGTTTAAATTGGCATACACAAAACAACCAATTAAGTGTTATCTCAATTTTTAACTTATTGGTTGCACAATACATAACTTTATGATTCTAACAAACTTTGTATAATGTAATGCAGGTTTTTATGGGATTATTATGCTTTTCCCACTAATCCTTAAGTTGTTAGGTAAGACGAATCAAATATTAACATCATTGAATAACCAAAAATAGAATTGAGAGAAAATGTCTATTTCTTTTTTAAAGATTGTTCATTTGAATCTATGATGTAGTGTCGCCATTCATTAAAGAGCGAGTTCGAATTCGTAAGGAAGCTATCAATTTATTAGCTAAAGTATGTGAGTCGATAAAGTTCCGCATAGACTCCAGCAATTACCATCACTATTATACGAATCCAATTCTTGAAGCCACGAGACAAAATGCATACGAATTTGTAGAATTTATTGTGTCCAACTTTCCAGATGCAATTTGGTGTGCCAACGAAGATGGTCACAATATTATTCAGTATGCTGTGATAAGTCGTTCAGAGAAGGTTTATAACCTACTATATCAGATGAGCGAACATAAGAATGTTTATAGAACAATTAAGGACCCCTATGGAAATAACTTGTTACATTTGGCTGCAAGATTGGCACCTAATGATAAATTGAATCGTATATCAGGGGCAGCTTTACAAATACAACGTGAACTGCAATGGTTTAAGGTAGGAATCTTTGATGAATCAAATTTCTAAAATTTTATTTGACATACCTAATGTTATTTAGAAAGCATGGTTAACACAATCTAATCTTGTAGGAAGTTGAAGGATTTGTATGTCCTCTAAACATCATACAAAAGAACTCTTTCGACGAAACACCTCAAATGGTATTTACAAGAGAACACAAGGACCTTGTGAGTGAGGGAGAAAAATGGATGAAGTCCACTGCAGAATCATACACAATTACAGCTGCATTAATCACCACCATTGTGTTTGCAGCAGCTATTACAGTGCCTGGAGGAAACAAGGACACTGGGATACCGACTTTTACTAACAACATTGCATTCAAAATATTTGCAATATCAGATGCGATATCGTTATTCACATCAGCTACTTCGTTGTTAATGTTTTTGTCAATTCTCACTGCACGTTTTGCGGAACAAGACTTTCTCTTCATGCTGCCTACAAAGTTGATCATTGGTTTGGCTACCTTGTTCATTTCAACGACAGCCATGATATCAGCTTTTGGTGCAACATTGTACCTTGTATTTGGTCAAAGCAACTCAATGATTCTTATTCCAATAGCTGTTTTGACATGTCTACCAATTACTTCTTTTGTAACCCTCCAGTTCCCTCTCGTCGTAGACTTGATGAGTGCCACATATGGTTGTAGTATTTTTCGTAAGCAAAATGATAGTATATTCTATTAAATCTTTATGCATGATTATAGTGAATTAAATAGATGTGAAAAGCGGCAGAAATACTCATTTCATTTTGAGTTGTATATGTGATGATCTAAATAGAGGTGATAAGTATTCGGAACTAGATATGGTCTCTACCTTGTAATGATGATTATTTGAGATATTAGAATAGAGAAATAAAGAATCGATGATAAGTAAAGATCTGAATACTTTTAGAAAGACAATGCTTTTATTAAACAGAAATGCCTAGAAATTTGCTCGACAAAATGGCCAAAAAGGCTACACCAAAAACAAACTTGTACATTTTGAATGTCATCTAAAAGGTTAGGGGGAAATTCAAGTTAACAGAATTGTATATATGGAAGAACACAAACAGAATTGCCTCAACACGCATAAATTGTGTTGAAGTAAAAGTAACTCAAAACTCCGATCTGAATATTCAGGATCCTAAACATTATATATATTGATCAAACATATCAGAATATAACTAGGAAACCTAAAGGTAATCAAATACAACTTTCCTTATAAAGCATTCCTTATTGCTCAAGGAAAACTCAGAAACCTTGGACAACATTCCAAGACTTGGACAACACTCCAAGCACTCTTTGATCTAGACCGTAACACACCAACTAGCCACATCTATCTTAGATAATAAGCTAACAATCACCCCCTGGATTTATGAGAGGAAGGTAATTCTTGCACACCAAGCAACGATCTCATTTTTGTGAACTTTATCCGAGCCAAGGCCTTTGTAAGCTGATTTGCATGTTGCATGTCCCCGAAAACATGTTCAACTATCACTTGTTCGTTTTCAACGCATTCTCGAATAAAGTGATAACAAGTGTGAATGTGTGTGCTTCTACCATGGAAGATTGGATTCTTTGACATGGCAATTGCTGATTTGTTGCCTATTAGAATGAACAACTTTTGTTTCTTTATTCCTGTCAGCTAAGCCAATAACTCCCTTAACCAAACTGCTTGACATACAGCTACAGTAGCTTCCATGAGCTCAGCTTCACATGAGGAAATGTTATTGTATCTTGCTTTTGAGAACACCAAGTGATAGGTGAATCACCAATGTAGAAAAAATGTCCGGTGGTGCTTTTACCGTCATCTACATCAACATTATGACTGCTATCGATGTAACCTAGCAAGCTCAAATCTTTACTTCGTTTGTATATTATTCCAAAAGATGTTGTTCCACATAAATAACGAGAATTTTCTTAATAGCACGTGCATGAGATTCTCGTGGACTTTGCATGTAACGGCTAACTACTCCAACCAAAAATGCTAAATCTAGACATGTATGCAAGAGGTATCTTAAGCAACCTACTAGTTTTCAATAATGGGCAGCTTCAACTTTAGATAATTTTAGTCCCCGGCTCCATCGGATATTGAGTTGCATTAAACTCCTACATGCATGCTTTTTTTAGAATTTTCATGGCATAAATTTTTTGTTTCACCTTTACACAACCGTTTTCTTGCAATACTTTAATACCCAAGTAGCAAGTTAGTTCATCAAGGTCCGACATTTTAAATTGTAACATCTTTAGTTTCTTGAATTGGTTTATAAACTCTAGACTTGTTCCCGTTAAGAATAAATCATTTACATAAACTGCAGCAATGAAGAATTCTCCATTTGAAACCTTTCTATAAACAGCATTTTCTTGCATGCACCATTCAAAACCTATATTTTTTTAAAGTATTATTAAGTTTCAAATTCCATGCTCTTAGGGATTATCGAAGACCATATAGTGCTTTTGCCAATTTGTAGACTTTTCGTTCTTTGCCTTGCTTTATAAAACCTTCAGGTTAACAAACGTACACTTCTTCCTTCAAATCACCGTACAAAAATGCCACTTTTACATCCAAGGGATGAATCTTCATCCATACTCGGCTACGAGAGAAATTAATAGTCTTATTGTCTCGAGACGAGCTATCGGCGTGAATACTTCATCGAAATCAATACCTTGCTCTTGTACATAGCCTTTAGAAAATAGACGTACTCTGTACCTAATAATCGATCCATTCTTATTTCTTTTGATTTTGTATAACCATGTTAAACTGATAGAATTGGCATCTTTAGGAGGGGAAACAAGCTTCCATGTATTATTTTTCTCAATCGAGTCAATCTCGGCCTTCACTGCATCGATCCAATCCTTGTTCGCTTTGGCTTCTTTAAAATTCTTTGGCTCTTCATCGAAAGTTAACATTAAATGAGCTTACTGCTTTCGATTAATCCAAGCCGACAAAACCTACCACACAAACAGGAAAACTAGTGGTTCACTGTTCCGATTTGGTTTTCTACTCAGATTCTCCACACGAACTCTCTTTTTGATTTAGAATAGGACTCTCTCTCTCTCTCTCTCTTCTATCGCAATTTCACCTTCTTCCTAAGCTGATACCAATTCAAGTTAACATAATTGTATATATTGGAAGAACACAAACAAAATTGCCTCAACACGCATAAATTTTATAGAAGTAAAATAAGTCAAAGCTCTAATCTAAATATTGATTAAAAGATCCTAAACATCTATATATAATGATCAAACATATCATAATATAACTAGGAAACCTAAAGGTAATCAAATAAAACTTTCCTTATAAAGCATTCCTTATTGCTCAAGGAAAACTCGAAAACCTTGGACAACACTCCAAGCACTCTTTGATCTGGACGAGAACACGCCAACTAGCCACATCTGTCTTAAATTATTTGCCAATAGAAATGTCTTATAGTTTTGAAAAATGACCGAAGGAGATGATGGTCACCACCCCTAAACATTTGACACTCTAACAGCAGTTTGCTTTTGGGAAAAGGTCTTAAGAAATTGAAACTGAAACCCCATGATTGGCGAACTAAGAACCACACTATCTAAAAATCCAACTCTGTACTTTTGACATGAAATGGCATGCTACGAATAGGTGGACCTCATCCCGTACACCATTATTGCATATATGGCCAACAAAAACACGAGAGGAATGCATATATGCATGAGGTTTGCCACATGAATTTTCCAAACCAAAATGTTTACTTTTCAGACTCAATTGTTCCATTTTGACGACCCCTCGTCTGAGCTGAGAATCATTTTCTCAATCAGAGGCCTTAAAAGATCTAGGTGAGAACTTACCCAACATGCTAGGTTAGATATAGGACATCGTATGAAGAAAGGGGTTACAGATAAGCACACTTAAGCTAGAATATATTGTAGAATTTTAGTGTCAGCAAAATGGTGCAAGTAGACATTTTGTATCGTGAGCAAGTCTTACACCTAAATCAAAGTTTTGGGTCCATGATGAAAGGGGTGTTGAGGTTGTTGTTACCTAATAAAAACATGGAGGTCGGTTGTATGGATCATTATGTTAGCTAACTAAGGAGCATAAAAGAAAAGTAGAAGTCATGAAAATGAGAATGTTACATTGGACATTTGTAGGCACTCATTGTCGATTGTAAAAGGAGAGGATACCGAAGAAGAAAGGACACCGAAGAAGGACATGCCAAGATAGCATAAGGTTAGTTAGACTTGGAGGAGTTTTCATTATCTTTAATAGCAAAGCATGAAGGCTTAAAATTAGGTTGGTTGAGCAGTATCTTCTTTCTAGTATCTTCTTTCTGTAGTTATGTTCGTCGTACATTTGTTAATGTCTTACTCTTTAGTCTTTTCTCCTCTTTACTTTTAGCTTTCATTGGTAATACCTACTTCCTGCTTTTTCACTATATGTGTTTCTATCTATAGATTACTTGCTTATTCTTGTCCACCCTTTACTTTCAGCTTTTTATTAGTATATGTTATTTTAGTTTTTATTTTTTTTATCGCTCACAATTCATTATCCACTATTGCATACAAATATTTCACATGCATAACATCTAGTACCCTCATATAGTCATGGTCAGTTTACCTATTCTTTTACTGCATTCTCATAGGACTTCAAGTCTTCAATATTGTCACATTTTTGGTGCCCTATGTGATCAAACACCCAGTGGGCCAAGTCTATGGCTCAAGTCATTCATTAGCTTATTGGTAACTATAAGTATTAGAACATCCACAATGCATGGTTCACAATGCATGGCTCGCTAAAAGATTTCAACGATAGGACAAATCTAGTTGTCATTCGATAGATGAAACATTACCGTTGTTAGATGCCACCATGGCATTCAATTGATTTGGATTTCAATGGGAAAAAAAAGTTCTCTAATTTTTTAACAAATCTTTAAAATATGTTCCATTAATCTTGATAGAGTTCAATATATTTTGGAAATAAATAAATTTAATAGAGTTATATTGAGCAGTAGATAATGTTGTGTCAATCGATTGAACTTTTTTGAATTCAATGCATTTTGAATGCCTTATCAACACAATGAGTTACCATTTTCCAATATATGTTGTTTTGGTAGTAGTCATCAAGGTCGGTTGATCGTGGTGGTTTTAACTTGTTAGCTCAAGGAAGGTGTTCAAAGCTTGTCTCAACTTGTTCAGCTCCTGGCAACAATTATTCCATGATGTTCACGCTATACATATACATTCGTGATCAAATTCTCATTCACTTGAGAGAGATCAATTTATCAAGTCCTAAGAGATTTTATGTTCTTGTGTAATTGATCGTGTCAATGGTTTCACACCATTAAGAAGAAAACAAAAGCATTAGAAACACTAGTTAAACTACATTACAAAATCAACAATTTCTACAAAGTAATTAAGAATCTCAAATCAGAATTATCCTTGGTGGGTATATCTATATATGTACATAGTGTAGTGTAGTGTAGTGTCAATCAGTATATGACTACCTTTCTTTCTTTCTTACTTGTAGTCGTAGGGGGATTAGACTTGTTCCTTCAAGCTCATTGCCGACTCTTTCTGTACCTGTCCCAACAAGTATCAGACCATATTATATGTATAGCCTCACATGTCTATTTTAGTAATTTCATAGTTAAAAAAATGTTAATTACATTATAAATCATGAGAGACGTCTACCATCAAACTAATACGCTTAGCAGTGTCTGAACGCATCAA